TCTGTATTTTGGCGGCAAATTAGCGAGGACCCAATATACAGCGCAAAGTTTGTGAATTTTGCGTGATGTGCCAAGCGGATTGGCAATTTCAAGCTCATCAATATATAGCTGGAGTGGTAGGATGAGATCCCCTGTTGACAGTAAGTCATTCTCGAGGAAATGAGAACCATCAGAGCATGATGCATATTGACTAGATGCAGTATTTGGTTCAGTAATCTTGTTAAGAATGTCTGTGTTTTTAAACAACTCTTGAATCATTGAAAGGATAGGAACATACATGCTGGTATGTCCAGGTTGCTCCAACTGATATTCCACTGGCATTACACAAGGATAATTGCACTCAATAAAGGTTTTTCTACGCTTAGATGAACTCAACTCAGCACCTTTAGAGGTTGATGTAGAGAGAACATTGCAGTCCATGATAGCGGCAACTACTTCACTCAGTGTAGGTTCTGCAATGCTGTGACCATTTCTCTGCAATATATCACTTACTGCCTCTTTGATCAGCGGCTCAGATAAGGAGAAGATCTGATTCAAGTGGTCTACTATTTCTTGAGTAGCTGTGTTTGAGACATGGAGGATAGCCTGCATCTTAAGGAATAAGGACGATACGTTTTTTTTTAAGTTGATTTCTTAGACTGTCAGTGTCGCACTGATCATCATTCCCCACCTCTGTGCTCTGGTCTGGGCATTCTTCACGCAAATCACTAGTTACTTCAGAAATACTGGCTTGGAGATTATGGGGATCCTCACTGACAATGTCAGTTTGAAAGTCTGATGTAAGACTTGCTTGGTGTGCTCTACTTTTATGGGAATTGAATGAAGAGTACACATTTGTGCTATAGCTACAATCCTTATATGGGCATGTCACCGTTTCATGATTTTTCAAATGACTGACTGACTGAGATGACTGAAAAGGGCAGATTCAGAAAACGGTTGCTGAAATGTGCATAAAGGGCATTTAAATACACAGGCCCATGAGTCTGCTCTGCACAACTACTAAGTTGTTCTGTATGATATCTTGACAAATGAGTACTCAGTGCATTAAGTGTCTGAAATGTACAAATGCAATCAGTGTAGAGGCATGGAAGAGGGCTGATCCTGGAATAGAGGCTGTGCTGCAGCCTGTAATGTCTAAATAACTGTATTCTGGAGGTGAAAGAAGCTGCACACAACTTACACCGCCAGATCATGTTGGAAACACTTTCGAAACTTACAGTAAGGCCAGTGATGCTGGCTGCTGCTGTGTAGGTCCAACTCTAGCAGTCCTCTGTGCTGCCTCTCTTTGGCACTGCTTCTCGCCACTCGCCCTCAACCTTTTGTTATATATTTTTTTCCAAAAGAGTGGTAAGCGACCAGTGCCTTCTGCTTCTGTCTTAACTTCTTGAAACTGGAACAGAGAGATACAAAGCCACAAACTGATTTACAATTAAAAAGCATCCAAACAGTGTCAAATTATAAATACTTACTTAATACTACAACTTATCATTTTTCCCTGTTAATGACCTTTTCATTTAATCCCCAAAGTGTGAATGCATTGCCAGTCAAGCTACTAAAGCCATCAAGCAAATTTAACACTAGAATATTTGCATGTCCTGCAGAAATACAGTGTGGATGCTCTATAAATATTGTATGAATTTGTAGATTCTAACAAAGTGTGAGATTAGCTGAAAAAAGTATAGTGTTACCTTAAAAACAGTGAAAAAAGATCCCCCCCTCTGCTCCCTCTGGCTTGTGAGTGCAGGCAGTGCCAAGCAACCAGCGCCATCTGCCGGGCCCTAATTAGAGCAGCGTGTGTGTGCGTGTGTGAGAGACTGACCGTTATTATGAGGGGCCGTCAGGGACATTATTCAGAATTACCTCTCACAAACACATGTGAAATGCTCTTACATACACTACTGAAACACTCTCACATAAACAACTGAAAAATGATTTGCTCGCAC